GGGAACTACCTCTCTTTCTCCCTGGAAGTGGGCCACCCACATTCTCTCTCTGCTTCACCTTCTCGTTGTCAAGCCACATGGGGCCACGATGATGGCAGCCAAAGCCCTGGAGATGGGACCACCACCATTTGATCCACAGGACTTTGCACCCCCTAGCCTGTGATCTTCCTGCATTCTGCTTCATTGCATGCGATTGTGTGAGTCTGAAGAGTGATTGATGGACTAGTATCAGATTTATGGGCTAATATGGGTCATATGGACTTGATCTGGACTGAGCTGGGATGCTTTCTTAATCTACAATTGCTCTTTGAGATAAAGCTCTCTCTTACACTCATGTGAGTGTCTCTGGCTTTGTTTCTCCAGTCAACCTGGACTAACACAGTATTTTTCCCAGGCCGTGATGCCGCTGTCAAGTCTCATAAGTTCCTTGTTGGAGCACCTGCTACCTTCTTACCCAGAAACTGTTCTCTACAACCAGAGACTACCAGAAACTTTGCTGTTTGAAATCATCCATCAGTATCCTCCAGGGAACAGCTACCAGGAAAATGCAGGTCGAAAAAGTTGGCTACGGTCCTCGTGCAGTGAGTGAGCATGCACTATGGGGAATCATGAGGCAACTCATTAGGAGAGACTTAATTACAGGACTGGGGCGTGATGGGTGACTTGGGATGGGACTCAGGAAACACATTTTACCTGGGCCTGGAGCTTATCAACGGGGAGGCAGATGAAAGGGAGGCTGAGGCTGCAAGAAGCAGCAGCCTTACTCGTTGGGAGATGGTCTAGTTGGGAGTCCGTGACCTTGACAATGCTCACTTGTTTAATCCAACGTGATTACAGAGTTCTGTCTCGACCCATCATTGTCACAGTCTGAGGGTGATGTTTGGTGAATTTGTTAGGTAGTTCGATTTAGGGGGCAGGGGCGGGGCGGTTGTCCCTCCCAGGCCTGCAAAGGCCCCCATAGAGGAGGTTGGAAAGAAATCAGGCAACCAGCGAACATCTCTGAAGACCCCACACTGAGCATGAACAGACACAAGCCCCCTAGGCCCAGGTAAAACCAATATCTTGGACACACCCACCTTAGGTACATCACACAGGTGGGCCTAACTCAGCCAATGGGGTCAACCAATACCATCAACCACGCCTCCCCAGTCAGAGGCTTGAAATAGCCTGGCTGTGGGAAGGCCTCACTCTCTCTTACCTGCTCCTGGTCAGAGGCAGTTGGAGGTGAGGAGTCTCCCACCCCCCCACCCCACGCCCACCCCACCCCCGTGAGGGCACAGATGCGCCTGCTCCAAGCCTACTCGGGGCCCACAGCCTCTTGGCCCACATGCTCACAGCCTCGAGGATTCTTGGCCTTCTGGCCTCTCCGCCTAGCCCAAGTTCCACACGTGTGGGAGCCCTTTCCACGTGGTTGTCTCACGTCCAGCTGTGAACGCTTCCCAGAAATAGCATATACCCTTTTGAGACTATACCACCTGCTCATAAAAACTCACTCGGGTCACATGCTTCGGTGAGAATTCTTTCAGCGTGCGAAGCAAGAGAATTGAGGTACCACGCATGCCAGAAACCCAACACATTTATCTATGCTCAGAACTCCTAGTTGGTAGAACCCAGGCCAGTCCCTAGAGTTCAGGGGCTGCTTTCTCTCATGTATCAGGGAGTGTGAAACACACCATCCTGGTTGGAAGGCCTAAGTTGCAGGTACAGAGAAGTGACCTCAATTTCCAGCCCAGATGCAGAGCTTCCGAGAAGTGACCTAAACATGACATTGTAGTCTCGAAGGAAATAAGGCTGCAGATTTGATTCCTTTATACACAGCTGTGCTTTCTGGAGGCCTGGTGGCCCTGTGGGTTGAGTGTTGGGCTACTACCCAGGGGTTAGCAATTCAAACCCACAGGCTGCTCCGAGGGAGAAAGATGAGGCTCGCCTGTTCTTGGAAACTGTGTGTCCTGTTGCTATGGGTCTGAATCAACTTGATGGCAGTGGGTTTGGTTTTATTTGGGGGGTGTTTTGCTTTGCAACACTATTTAAATTTCACCTGAACTCCACCCTTGCCCCCCAGTTTTATAGCTCTCTTTTCCTTTGGTGACAGGTTCCAGGATGACCTTTGGTGTGACCTGAACAGAGCTTCTTAACTTGTGGTGTGACCATCTGGGGTCCCATAATTGACAGGGCAGGGAGGGGAGGGTGTTGACGAAAAATTTGGCAACAGTGAAGAGTTTCTGAATGCAGGACCCACCGAGTAATTCAAAATCACACTTGTAATATAGTCAAGGTGTTTCTGGCAGCGCTTGTCCGTGTTGCACACAACACACGCCAGAGTTTAGACATGGTGGTTTGCGATACTAGCAAAATCATTAACCTCATTCAAGGCTGTGTTTGATTTGCACAACTATTCTATATATCTAAATACTGAGAATCGGGTAACAAAGCCCTGCCAGCATTGACTTGACAGCTGGTGGGGTGGCAGGAAAGACAGGTGGACATGAACATTGACAAGTTAAATATAAAACAAGAGTGTAGGCCGGGGGTGCTGACTAGAGAGAGGTGTTGTCATGACTCCAAGTCGTGTGGGGTCGATAACCACAGTTTGGGCATCTCTGCCCAAAGTATCTATGGCATAGACCTGCTGCCATCAAGTCAGTTTGGATTCGTGGTGACCTCATATGTCACAGAATAGGACTGCTCCTTAGGATTTTCTTGGCTGGAATCTACAGAGAAGAAGATCGCCAGGCCATTCCTCCCTGGTCCCAATGGACTGGGTCATCTCGCCGGCCTTTAAGCTGGTAGTCAAACACAAACTGTTTGCACCCCTTGGGGACCCTGTGTCCTGTAACAGGTATGGAACCAAACCACGTGACCTTGAGTTGGTTCTGACTTATGACACCAGGCAACCCCATGTGTTTCAGCGTCAGTCTGTGCTCCATCAGGTTTTCCCTGGCTGATTCCTTGGAAGTCGATCACCAGAACTCTCTTAGGAGGCACCTCTGGATAGACTTGAACCGCCATCATTTGGTTAGCCATTTGAATCAATCGGCCTAGGACTTTTTTTAAAAATATGGCTAAGAGGTTCATGATCAAATTATACATCTCTTTTTTTAAAATCATTTTATTGGGGGCTTGTACAACTCTTATCACAATCCTTTTTTAAAAAATCATTGTATTGGGGGCTTGTACAACTCTTATCACAATCCATACACACACCCATTGTGTCAAGCACATTTGTACATCTGTTGCCATCATCATTCTCAAAACATTTGCTTTCTACTTGAGCCCAAATTATACAGCTCTTGTGAAAGTCAAATGTTACAGCAAGGTGTAAAACACTCAAGAAGCCATACTTCTCTTCCCACTACCCCCCCGCCCCCCCTCTTGGAGAGGTATGGTTTTGACAGGACTGAGTAGCTGAGGTCTCTGCATGTACCAGGGAGGGTGCAGGCTGCCTGCCCACTGGTTTCTCCCCCTAACAACCAAAGGGAAATTGCAAACTCCAGTTCAAATGGAGGGAGATTTACATACGTTTTATCTAAAGAGCCTCGGTGGCACTGTTGGATAAGCACTGAACTGCTAACCACAAGGTGAATGGTCCAAAGCCACCAGCTACTCCGAGGGAGAAAGGAGAGGCTGGCGGCTTCCATAAAGATGGATCGCTTGGAAGCTGTACAGGTGCACTATGTGTTCGAATTGACTCCATGTCAGGGGGTGGTGGTGTTAATCTAACAAAGCATCTCAGCCATGATTTCCACTCCCAGACTGACAAGTCTGCGGGGGAAGCAGCAAATAGAACAGTATACTATGTGGAGACCTCGGCATTAACCAGTGGAAACCCCACCTTGTTTGAGCAAACAGCTGTTTTCAATTGAGAAAATGTGAAATGTTGTAACATCCACACCCACAGGAGACTGTGCATGTCATAGCTGCAGGAAAGGGTAAAAGGGGGAGGGGAAGCAAGAAGCTGGGAGGAAAGGGGACGAAAATTAGCAGGAAGGAAGGAGACCCACAGTATTTGCCCCAAAGAAGTAAGGCCCAAAACATGTATTAACCTGGTGACAGGAAAGACAGTATATACACTGCCATTGACTGGGTTCTAACTCACTGCCACCCTATAGAGCAGAGTAGAACTGCCCCTTTCGATTTCTGAGGGGTCAATCTTTATGGGAGTAAAAAGCCTCATCTCTTTCTGGAGTAGCTGGTGGTTTCAAACTGCTGACCCTGAGGTTAACAGTATAACTCCTACTGCAATAGGCCATTGGCTGCTCCAGTCAAGAGGAGTGACTGATGGTAGCACGGGCTTACGACAGCAATGGAGGAAACTGGGAGGAAAGCTAAAGGTAACAAAAATAAGAACTATCACAGTCAACCTTGCAATGGCAGTGATAAGTTTAAGAGTACATACATATAGACTCGCAAATTGAACAGGGCTGGAAAGGCGAACGGGGCCAAGGATATTTATAGACTTCAAATAGATCCACGAATATACAAGGGGCATAGAAGGGATAAAGATGAAAACTTTTGCCCCAAAGTGAGACATCTTGCGGGAAGGAACCCTAGGGCCTGGAGTCTCCAGGGACATCAAGGTGTATTAGCCATGCCCACGTCCACGAAGATAAGATTCTAATTCCGAGTTTGTTGAGTTGTGACCAGGATCTTAAAAGCAAAAGTGCGACGGACGGCACGCTGGGAGGCCCGGAGCCTGGGAAGAAAGAGAGGTCAAAGGAAGGAAGGGGGGTGGCGTGGGGCCACAGAGGACTCAGGTGCTAAGCAGCCCGCGCGGAGGGAACCGAGATTGCGACGGCTGGCCGCGGCTGTGTCCGGCCAATGCGAGGCCGCCACGTCATCCCTGGTGCGCCGGAAGCAGGTACGGATCAAGGACCCAGAACGCATCGGTAACTGGCGCCCAGGAGTGACGTCGCTCACGCGCCTTCCGCTCTCCGGGCAGGTCGTGGTGTGGACTGAACAGTCGTCCCTCGGCCGTCTCCTCCCACGTCCAGCTCTGCGTCCGAGCGCCTCCGAATCCCAGAATGTTCCCGGAACTCAATGACCTTTTGAACACTACCCCGGACAAGGTGGAGCAGGTACGGTGTCCCGCGGTTGAGGAAAATGAACCTCGGAGCAAGGCATGAGGTGCCGCCCCGGAAGCAGCGCGTACAATGATGCCGTCGAAAAGGCGCGACACCTCCCGGTAGGGAGGTGCCTGGGAAACGTAGTCCAGTCCTGGAAGCACCGTCCCTGGACGTCAGCCTTTGGTCTGCAGCGGTTGGGCTTCCCGACTTGGGTTCTCAAGGACAGCACGAGGCTTTAAACCTTCCCAGGAAACGTGTCCATATGTCCAACAACTGGATTAGTTTGTCCCGCTGACACGTACGAGAAGTAATGGGCGAGCTCGCTGTGTGGGTGGGTGGGGATGGGAGACTCCTGGAAGTTGGGCGGAGCCAGGAAGAGATCCCTTCCGCCCTGCATCTTGCACCATTCTACCTCTGCGCTGCACTGCCCAGGCCGGTCACAGGGAACAGCCCTCCACTTCGTCTCCCTCCTTATGATGGCTCGTGGTGCGTAAGGCTCGAAGCTGCTCGCACTGGGTACCAGAAGTCCACTTTTGGCACCACAGTCGCATCACCGTTTTCTCCACCCTCCTTGCGCCCTCGGGCACCTTGCTTCATTTTCAGATGCTTCACTCTTGTTCGGAGACAAGGAATCTAGAGATTGTTAATGTTTGAGCCAGGGGTTTTCTCTCACAAAACGGATCTGGCTTCTTTCACAACCGTTTACCCCTAATGAAACGTAAACCTCTCAGGCAATCACAGTAACCATGTGTGCAAAACCTTCTAAGGACCTGAAAGTGCCGGACAGATCGTAGCTTCAAGTAGAGCTGTGTGAATTCTAGTTGTCCCGAAGTTCCCGTGTGTCCTAGGCTCCCGACGCCTCCAAAGACCCCAGCCCAGAGCCAGAGCACAGAGTGGAGGGTTGAAGTGGGCAGGGAGCTTAAGCCACTGGGTGACAGCGCTAGGGGCAACCCTCAAGACCTGAGAGTATGAGCCTTCATATTTCATAAATTAAAAACACCCTGAGGCCCCAGAAAATTAAAGCGCTTGCCTGTGGTCTACACAGCACTGAGTGACATGTCTGATACCTCTTGACCCCCACCTTCCACACAGTTTGCTGCCAGGGAACTAAAGGTGGCTGGAGTGGGCACTGGCACAGCTTACTGTTGCTAGGTGGCATCGAGTTGGTTTTGACGCATAGTGGTCCTGTGTACAGCAGAATGAAACGTGCTTGGTCCATGAACCGTCCAACCATCACTGCTGTGTTTGCACCCATTGTTGCAGTCACCATGTCAGCCCTTCTTAACAAGAGTCTTCCTCTTTTTAGCTGCCCTTCTACCTTACCATGCACGACATCCGGGGACTGGTCTCTCCTGCTCACCTCACTGCAGAGCGTTTCCCAGGGAAGGCAAAGAACCAAAGCAGCATCCAGAGCCAGTGGGTAGAAACTTTGTTGCCAGAGGTATCTTGTCAGCAGCCACTTCTTTCTCCCCTCGTCCCCCAGCTCACTGAGCCCAGATTAGAACAAGGGAGGAAGTTGAATCAAATGAGTGTTTGGAAGATCTCTCACTGAAGTTTGTGGTTTTCACTGGAGCCTGCGGATAAAGGCCCTATCTTTCATAATCTGATCATTCCTGAGAGCGGGAATAACCTGAGTCAGTGACTAAGGGGAGGCGTGAGGAAGAGATGGGCTTTGGTTCTGCATTGCCACGGAAAGGTGGAGGCGAGGATCCGCTTGCTTGTTATGAATGACTTAAGACCGGTCACTTTATTCATTGCTTGTTTGTTTCATGATTTTGACTTATGCTTCTTCTCTTTTTTTATAGACATAGCATCCCTGCTGTGGATGAGTTGGTGACAGGAGTAGTACTGCCTCATAGGGTTTCCAAAGCTGTCATTTAAAAAACAAAGTTTTATTGGCACATACTGCAGGTGTTATACACTTGAATCGTTCTCCTATTCAGATTTGTGTCATTCATCACCACAATCCATATCAGGACATTTTCTTCTCAGACTCCTCATTGTTAGCTCCCCATCTATCCCCAGCCTCCCCAAAGGCTGTAATCTTTACGGGAGCAGACGGTCACATCTTCTGTGAAGTGGTTAGTGGCTTTGAACCACCCACCTTTTCCTTAGTGGCCAAGCGCTTCACCAGAGCACCACTAGGGATTCCTGAAGCGACTTTAAGTGGCCTTAGGTGGGTTCCACCGCTTAGCGAGCCTGCGGACAACAGGATGTGACACTGCCTGGTTCTTAATACTGATTTAGTTTTTTAAAAAAATCTTAATTTACAGGTGTAGAAACTTAGAGCTGGACAGAGGTGACGAGATTTTTCTGCTCAGCTTTCCTCTCTCCAGAGAGGCTCATTCACCTTCTATGTGATGTGTTCCTCTGACCTTCTAGGGGAAACTGACTCTGCTCTGCGATGCCCAGACGGACGGCAGCTTCCTGCTCCACCACTTCCTTTCCTTCTACCTCAGAGGTACACGGGGCTCAGTGAGGCTGTAGAACGCAACCTCTCGGGTGGGAGTGCAGGAGGGGAACTGAAACAGCCAGATTCTGACTCGTAGCATCCCCGTGGGGCAGGGTCACACTGCCTCTGTGGGTTTCTGAGACTCTCTCAACAGGAGCAGACTAGCTTATTGGGCGGCAGATTGCTGGGCCATCTTGGAGTCTCCTCGCCCGGGTTAAGAGAGGGGTGTGCTCCCTAGGCCCACGTCCTACCGCCCTGCTGCCGGGACTGCCTCTGGAGCCACTGACAGACCCTCCTGAGGGGTTTCTCTGACGTCCCTTGAGGCCTCTGGGAGGGCGACTTCACAGTGCTTGGCATGGGCAGGGGGTATTTCTTTTCTTTTTTTAAAAGTTTTATTGGCACTTCTACATCTCATACAATTCAGTTGTTCAATCATATCAAAGGAGTTGTAGAATCATTACCACAGTCAATTTTAGAACATTTTCTTCTTCATAACACTCATTATTAGTGTATTTTTTAATTGTGGCAAACATATACACAGCAAAACTTTTTCAATTCAACAACTTCTACATGTATAATTGAGTATCATTGATTATACTCTGTTGTGCCACCATTATTGATATCCTTTTCCAAATTATTCCACCACCTGTAACATAAACCAATGCCCCCTAAGCAAGTACTCTTCCTTCTTCACCATCATGTAATCATGGCAACTTTAGTTTTTATTTACTTATTTATTTCTAATCATTTTATTAGGGGCTCATACAACTCTTATCACAATCCACACACATCAGTTGTGTAGAGCGCATTTGTACATTCATTGCCCTCATCATTCTGAAAACATTTCCTCTCCACTTAAGTGGGCAGGGGGTACTTCTTAACCCCGGGAAGGAGACAGTACGCCCACCACCATGTGCACATGGAAACACATGAGCAAAGGACAGCATCCTGGTTTGTTTTTTGTAAGCTCACACAATCTCCCAGCAGAGCCCTGGTGGGGCATACGAAGTCCCTTGGGCTCCTATATACCGACCAACAATTGGAAAAGGCCATTAAAACAAAGAGCCTGTGCTTTTGTAGTAGCATGGGCTACTTCAGCTATCTGGTGGCATATCTGAGGGAGAAAGATGAGGCTTTCGGTTCCCATCAAGAGTTAGCCTCAGAAGCCCATTGGGGCAGGTCTACCCTGTCCTATAAGATTGCTATGAGTCGCAACCGACTCGGTGGCAGTGGGTTTGTTTGGTTGCTTTTTGAGCCGTACATATGAGGAGCCCTGGTGGTGCTGGCAGATAAGCGCTGGACTGCCAACCACAAGGTTGACGGTTTAAACCCACCAGTTGCTCTGCAGGAGCTAGTGGAGGCCTGCTGCTACAGCCTCAGGTGTTACAGCCTCAGACACCCTTTGTGGGGTCATTATGAGATGAATCGTGCTGGCCGTGGGCGCGTGGAGGTGGTGGTAGTCCATCTCATGCCTGGCAGTCTTCTGAAAAGTGGCCATTGAGAGCCTGGTGGACCACCGTGGTCTGGTCCCCAGCAAGTCATGGGGATGGCGCAGGACTGGAGGTCCCCGTGAGTCGGGCCGGCTCCTTGGCCGCTCACAGCTGTGAGGCACTTCACAGAAGCAGCACCTCTCAGAATCAAGGAAACAAAGTGTCCGTATGCAAAAGGGGGTTTCTTCGAACCCGGTGCGGCGGGGGTGGGGGTGGGTGTCCCATTGAAGGGCCTCTGGGTCAGCAGGGGCTTTATCACAAGTCACTTGATTTTGTTTCCTAGCCAACTGTAAAGTCTGCTTTGTGGCGCTCACCCAGTCCTTCAGTCACTACAGCATCGTGGCACAGAAGCTGGTAAGTGGGCTGGCCCTCTGGGTGGCCTCCCTCCGTGTGTGGGCAGGACCTGAGGCTGGGCGTGCCAGCTCCCGTGGTCAGGAACGGAGCTTGGGAGGGACTAAGGAAATCGGAGCTGCCCCACCTTTACCGAAGGGCTGCAGTCTCTCTGTACGTCTTGTTCATTGAGGTGTGCAGCGTCTGGTGTGTGTGTTGTGGTCATGCATCAGACCCTTCTTTGCTGGCTGCAGCAGGTGCGTGAAAGAGATGACCTGGAAAGTAAAGGTCTAGAAAAGAACGATGGCATATATGTGCCAATATGTTGGACACAACTGATGTATGGATTGTCACAAGAGTTGTAAGAGCCCTCAATAAGATGATCTAAATTAAAAAAAAGACAGAGAATATAGGCAAAGACACTGAAAAGATCACCCCCAACAATCATGACCCCAGTCCTGCCTTTCACTTGGGCTAGACCGGAGCATGTACACTGAATCCTGGTCAGATAAACCCCTCAGGAACAGGAATGGGAGGAGTGATACCAAGAGGGTAGGGACAAGGTAGGAAGAGGAAGGGGGAACCGATCGCAATGACAGACACATAACCACTGCCATCACCACCCCCAGGGGGACGAACAACAGAAACCGTGAGGGAAGGGAGACGGTGGTCGGTGTAAGATGTGAAGATAATAATAATGATTTATATTTATCAAGGGGTCTCAAGGGTGGGATGAGAGAGGGAGGAGAAAAGAGGATCGGATACCAAGGCTCAAATAGAAAGTAAGTTTAGAAAATAATGTTGGCAACATATGTACAAATATGCTTGATACAATTGATGAATGGATTGTTATAAGAGCTGTAAGAGTCCCCAGTTGTGGGGTTAAAGGGGAGAGGGGACCCACAAAACATCACAGGTCCAGTAGGTGCAATTGTACAGCAATAATAAGTAGAAATTATAGTAAAGTCATAGCATGAGAGTTAAAGGAAAGATTGGAATGAATGGAGTCAGACACAGTTCATGGTAGCATTGCTCCCCTCAGCCCCACTTGATGGTCCTCGTGGAGGGAACCCAGCCACCAGAGCAGGAGCAGCCGCCTAGCCGCCCTCCCGAGAACCAGGGAGCCTCCTTATTTATTGCTAACCACGCATCATATCACTTTAGGGGGGTCTGATTACAGAATCATACATCACAGAAAGGGGCAGTACAATTCATCCTTTGGCGGTTTTGATCACTCTGGTGTCTCATACAATAAAACAGACATTTACTATCCTGGGAGGCATGCAAACCCCCTGATAGCAGATAACAACCTACGTCATAGGGAGGGGTTGCGACATAGGCAATACAAGCAATAGGAGGGGGATTACGTAGGGTTGAACGCGCAATAGTAAGAGGAGGGAATAGGGGAGCGTGTGTGGCAAGATGGGTGGACCCTGGACTCGATGAGCTTAGTCATCTTAGAGTGGTCCCGGGCTTGCCTTTGGGCACTGCTTCAAGGGAACAATAGCAGAAGGGACAGGGCCCTACTTAGGGTGAGTCAGACTATACAGTCTGGTTGCTCTAGAATAACCTCTGATCTACTTTCACTGACCGCCTAGTGTACAGTCATTCTCAAGCAGCTAAGTCTGGTACATATTTTTGGGAGAGACAGCTTGAGAGAAATCCTTCTGTTTCCCACACCCAATAAAATGATGCAAAAGGGGGAAAACAAGATGACCTAGGAGCTGAGGGACTTAACCATAGAACTCACTGCATGGGGTTCCTTTGGACCCTGTCAGACAGGGCATAGCTGCCCCGGTGCCACACTCACTCTGTAGAGGATCACCTTGCTCCTGTGGTGGCTTTGAAATGCTGACTCTGTGATTAGCATAACCCTCGACCCCACCGGTTTCAACTGCTTCTGGCATTACAGTGGCCTTTAATCAGGACCCTTCTGGTGTGCAGATTGTGACTTACACTGCCACGCCTTTTGGTGCCTCCCATTAGGGCCCAGGACCTCAGTGTGGGGAGAGGTGCTTGTCTCACTTAGAGCAGGGCAGCCCTGGCCTGGCTTCCCCTCATCCAATGCAGGCAGGTGAGAATAGAATAACGAAGGGACTGCTGAGCCTCCTGGGCTGTGACCTGTGTCCAGGTGGACTTAGTGCTTGAGAAGGGGACCTGAAGCAAGGACACCCCCCCACCCCGCCCTTTTTAATGGACTGGTCAGTTTCAGCCAGGGAGAGAACCAGGCCACCCCTGAGCAGTGATGTTAAAATCTTAACCATATCATTGGACCAAGTCACTGCCTCTTCTCTGCAGTGAGAAGCAGAGGAGGGCTGAGAGGCTGGATTCTGCCCGCCTCAGTGGGGCACGCGCATGGGGAGCACATGCGGGTCATGAGTAGATGTTGCATTCCAGGTAGGTCTAAGACGTGTATGTATGCACTTTCTGCCGGCCACTCTTTGGGCTTTATTGCCCGTGACTCCTCACGACCTGGCAGGAGTGGCATGTGCAGGACCCAGCCGGTGACGTTCAGCATTCTGAGATGTCATTGCATTTCCCTGTAGAGTGGTAAAACAAGGAGCCTTTCTGTCGGCAGGGGCAGCGCGGGGTACTGGCAAGTGGAGGACACCAGGGCTGTGGGGCGTGAGTGAGCAGCTGAGATCTGGTTTGGGGACATGGGCAGCTTGAAGAGTCCCACCTCGTGTGTTTCTGCCGAGAGCAGTGGGCTGCATGGTCCATGGTGGTTTGTTGGAATGCTGGCTCGAGGCCCCTGGCTCCAAAGCTGTGGAGTCAGGGATGCAGGGAGCCGCATCCTCGTCGCTTGTCTCCAGGGAGTCTTATTGAGAAGAACCGTGCTCGAGAAGTCCTTGTTGAGCAAGAGTTGGCAAACTTCAACCTCCACGCCCACCCCCACCCCCCACCGTTTTGGTAAATAAAGTTCAATTGGAGCACATCCACACCAGCCAGTTTCCCCAAAGTGGCAGAGTTGGCGTTGCTTCCGGGGAAGCTGCAAATGCTCCAGTACTCCCTGCCTGGCCTTTCAGAGCATAGCTCTGCCAGTCCCGGCACTCCTGTTGCCCCATTCCAGTCTGGACGGCGTCATCAGTTGAAGGGAAAGAAGAGCGGATGCTTTCCCACTGGATGCCAGGCAGCCTGACAAGTTAGTTCCTTGAAAACTTGGGTCCTGAGTTCCCAATGGGACCAGCCCACAGGGTTTGTGCCATGCTCCTGCCCCAGCGTTTCCCAGACTGCAGCCCTCCTCCCACTGCTTCCTTTTGGTAAACAATGCATTTCATAAGGAAGCTTCCTATATGATGACTATAATAAATGATATCATTTAATGTTGGACTGCACATTTATATTTAATTAAGAATTATACTAATTTAAAAACTATTATCGGGCGATCTTGAAAATCTCTATAAACAAAAGAATGTAAGGTTGCTTTTCGTGGTTGGTTTTTAATTTAGCAACTACATGTGAAAGTACACCTGCAAGTGGACCAGGACTGTGGGTGGCGGCCCCCTGGGCCCCCGCTGTGAGCCGGAGTGTGGGCTCTCTGATGGGGGCGTTCTCCCCCGTGTCGTGTGTAGGGTGTCAGCCTGACCACTGCCCGGGAGCGCGGGCAGCTGGTGGTCCTGGAGGGTCTCAAGTCCTCGGTGGACGTCTTCTTCCGGGCCCAGGAGGAGCCACACCCCCTGCAGTTTCTCAGGTCAGTCTGCCTGTAGTCCAGCCAGTGGGGTAGGCCCCCGTTGCAGCCTGGGACATGACAGGGCGGAAGCTGCGCTGCGCTGCGCTCCACAGCGCTCCGTGGTTGTTGGGGAGAGCTGTCAACTAGGCTTTTAGGCCATAATCTTTGCAGCCCACGGCCAAGTCTCTACTCCCATGGAGCGGCTGGGTGGATGTGAACTGCTGACCTTTCCGTTGGTGGAGGATGTAACCATGGCACCACTCGGGCTCTTGGGGCAGAGGGGACGGTGGAAAGTGTTATTTGTCGAGAAGAGGGCAGAGCAGTATGACTGCTTTGCTGTTTTCTTACAACCTGGTGCACATATCCACTCTGTTCTTGGTTAGCAAACAATGGCTCCTGGGCCAGCCACCTGTTTTTTAAAAAAATCATTTTATTGGCATATCGTGCAGCCATATTCAGAAGAGCTGTGCAGTCATCACCCCCATCCATTTCAGAGCATTGTCCTCCTTCTCATGTTTGTTGTTAGCTTCCTGTTGCCCCCCACCCTCTCCTTCCATGCCCCTAGCTAATTATTAATCCAGTTACTGCCTCTATAGATTTACCTGACTTGGATTTCATATACAAAATATTACACGAAATCAAACAAGCCAAAAAGACACTCAACAACAATGACAAAACAAAACCTCAATAGAAAAGAAAGCAGAAAATATTAAAAATGGAAACAACTTTAACATAGGTCAAAAGGAAGACCAAATGATAAATAATAAAGTGTCACGTTTTAACCAAGCTACATTGGCCAGAATCGCCTTTACAGGCGGCTGGTCGCACCCTGGGATCAGGTCGGAGCGCCTTCCCGGAGACTTCATCCATGCTCTGACCCTGCAGGTGGAGTTGGTCTTCCACTGTCATCCAACTTAGGGTTTTATTATTTATTATCCTTGGATTATACAGACTGGTGTGCTTCTTCCATGTGCACGTAGTTGGTGCCTCACATAAGTGGCTGCCTGTTTTAACACAAGCCCCTGAGATCTCAGAAGCTATTCTTTCTGATAACCAAGTGCCACCTGATTTCCTCAGGACCCTTTGCTATAGCACCTTTATCTTCAGGGATCTCTGTGAGGGTGAGTATCAACTAGGGTCACATCATAAAAACTAATTGATCTCAGGTTAGGGCTACAATTAAGTGCAAGCCCAAATCCACTAATATATCTGTGACATGCACGTCTCTGGTTCACTTAAGGGACACCCTTAGCATTTAATAATATGGCATTGTAAATCGTCTCCGTGGCAGCCACCTATTTTTGTAAATAAAGTTTTATTGAAACACAGTGGCATTTTGCTTGCAACCGAGCCCTGGTTGCTTTTGTGCTACCCCTGTAGAGTTGAGTAGTGGCGGCAGCGACCGAATGGCAACAGGCAGGGATTGCAGGGCTAGTCATTGGAGCCGCCATGAGTAGCTAGGCCAGCTTGTGTCAGGATGGATTGCATCTGCAGTGTGTACCCGCAGCCTATGGCCGCCTGCATGCACATTGCTAGTAGCCTTTGGGTGCCCACGATGGACCCTCTAGGGAGGAATCTCTTGGCTTCCCTTTCCAAATTCATCCTCTAGATGCCCCTAGCTCTTGGGTGGAGAGGCTCTATGGTTGTCCTTAAAGACTCCAGGAGCTGTCAAGTTTTGTGTCCCTCGCTTCAAGCCCAGTGTTCTATGTCTGTTAGGCCCCCGTAAAGATTTACATGAAGCTCATTCGTGCCCACAGGCATGCCTTTCCTTTACAGCCAGGTAGGTGAACTCCTTGGTGCCAAGAGTGTGATACAGCCCACCCCCCCTGGCCCCCTCCCCTGCTGTTGCTTGGCTCAGATAAATATTTGTAATGTGAACTCTGGTGACTTTGGCCCTGTGTCCCCAGGAAGGCCAGCGCTGGGGACTTGCAGCCGCTGTATGAGTTTGTGCAGGAGGCCCTGAAGCCTGTGGACGGTGAGGAGGCTGCATGGAGGTGCCCAGTGCTGCTGATGGACGATCTCAGTGTGCTGCTGAGCCTGGGTGTGGGTGCCGTGGCCGTGCTGGACTTGGTCCACTACTGCAGGGCCACCGTGTGCTGCAAACTGAAGGTATCATCGGACCCAGTCGCCGGGTCCTACCCCTCCCCCACCCCCCCACCGACCTCGTGGCCTCTCAGAGCCCACACTGAGGCTGGTGACCTGTGAGGGGGTGCCCCGTGCTACCTGGTCCTGGCTGTCCCTTCAGCTGTCTCGTATTTGTGATGCAGGGAAACCTGGTGGCGCTTGTGCATGACAGCGGAGGCGCTGAGGATGAAGAGAGCAACACCCTGCTGAATGGCCTCAGCCACCAGAGCCACCTGATCTTGCGGGTCGAGGGCCTGGCCACGGGCTTCTGCCGGGATGTGCATGGGCAGGTACGCAGGGGCTGGGGCCAGGGACAACGGGCCGTTTGTCTCGTTGCCCGTGACTCAGCCCCGGGAAGGGGGGGGAGCGTTCCTTCAGGTGGCGGGGAAACCCTGGCAGCTTGTGGATGGAAAGTCAGAGACCTGCCCCAGCTGGTGCTCACCCCTGGGGACCAGTTGATGCAGGGCTTCAGGGCGCTCCCATCTGTCACACATGGGGCTCTCTTGAGGAGGAGGCAGCTGTCCCGAAGGGGCTCTCAACCCACAGCTGGCCCACTTCCTCTGCAGCCCCTCCGCCTGTGCAGCCCTGCAGCAGGCGCTGCGCAGTCCGGTGAACTCATTTCCTTTGAAAGCAGAGCCTGGGTTACTGCTTCCCTCAGGGCTGCCTCGGCCTGGGATGTTCAGCCAACTCAGGTCGAAGCTAACAGTCCTGGGCTGAGGGGAACAAGAACCTGTCCCTCTGAGGGGCTCCGACAGTGCTGGGCCTTCCAGTATGTCTTTGCAATCACCCAAGTCCGCCCTCGGAGCTGCCCCTCTGAGGTCACCTTGGGTACTCTCCCCCTAGTAAGGCCGAGAGGGCGTGTCAGTGCTGCCTCCTCCTCTGGAAGCAGGTCTGGTAGAGGGAGTGATCGGGCTAGCCCAGAACTACCCGGGGTCATGCCTGTGGGCACGTGGGAGGAGGTGGTTCTGCGGGCCCAAAACCAGAGCGATTTCGCCCATGTTGGCATCCTCAGTCAAACGATGAGGCGTCTTCTGTAAAACCGCGAGCCTGAGAAGTTTCACTGGTTTTTCTGGATGGAGGTTTTTGTTTTGTGTTTTTTCTTTCCTTGGTCTTTCACGTTTCTCACACTGAGCAAACGTCACTTTGTTTTGCATCAGCCTGGGTTAGAAGCCAGCTCCATTACTCCGGGACATGCCTGCCTGGGGAGCTCCTTGGAGTGAGGGATTTGGTAGGGGGGGTGGTCGTGGAGGACACGGTGGGCGCCCAGAGTGGAGGGGGCGTGGTGCCGGCTCTTCCTCACATCCGCCTTCCTGTGTCGCTAGCTGACGATCCTGCGGAGGACCCTGTCGCAGCCCACAGTGCAGGGTGAGCGGCGCCTGACTTACCAGTACAAGATACAAGACAAGAACGTGTCCTTTTTTGCCAGAGGGATGTCCCCTGCTGTTCTGTGACGCGCTGTCAGGCCAGCGCCAGCAGCCTGGGACCGTTTGTGTTTATGAAAGAGAAAGGAGCCCTGCAGAACCGGACCTTCCCACCCTCCTGGTGGTACCTGGCAGCCCACTACTTACCTGGGCCCTGCTCGGAAAGCAGCGGGAAGCCTCCTTCCTGCTACTGCTGCTGCTGCTGCTGCTGAGAGAGGGGCTGCGTGGGGACCCGCAGTGACAAGGAACCTCCACCTGGAGCTTTCTGTGTGAATGTGCACCAGCTCCCCATCTCTGGTTCCTGTGCCTCGCGGAACCAGAGTAGTCAGAAACGTGCCAACCAGGAGACGGTCTGCACCCTCACGGCTGGCGTAAAGTGAGTTCCCACGTCACGGCTTCATGTGGGCTCTCTACTGTTCACCTGCCTCCTGGATGGGACGGAGGCGCCTGGTGGCGTAGTGGACTGTACACGAAGCTGTTTACCACCTGGTCCTTGGTTCAAACCCTCCAGCCACTCCTCGGGAGAAACGAGGCTGTCTACTCCTGTAAAGATTTAAAGTCTCAGAAACCCACAGGGGCAGTTTTACCCTGCCCAATGGGGTCGTTGGCTATGACTTGGAATTGACGCTATGGCAGTGAGTTTGGGTTTTGGGTTTTTCACTTTCTCCATTGGGCCCAGGGAGGAAACTGGCTGAGCGGGGTAGGGGAGTGTATCCAGGGCTGTAGAGCAAGCTATGAGTAGTGGGGCCTAGCTCCACAGTGTACGCCCGCTGATTGGCCAGTGGGAAAACGGGAGCAGGCTCCCTACCCATGCCACAGCTTTGGGCCCTCCCACTTCTTGTACACAGAGGAGACCTGGCACGGAGCCCCGTGTAGGGTGTGGGTCAGCGTGGCCTTGGTGAGGACAGCAGGAATGTGCTTGTGGCCAGGCAGCGTGGGGCCTTGGCCAGGAGCTGGTGCTGCCTCCTGAGAAGCCCTGGGAGGTGAGTGCTTATCCAGCACACAGTCAAGGCCACCTGCGTATTCTGCGTGGGTGTGTCTTAGTACATGTCGTACGCCATCCACCGTTGACGTGACTTAAGTAAACAGAATGGAGAAGTCACGCTGATGACAGAGTCCTAAGGGGTTTTCGTATCTGTGTGTAATAGGAACTGTGTTACAGGACCTGTCTGATGCCCCTGACAACCCCAACACCCCCACCTCCCATGCTGGCCACTGTGTGGTTATCCCACAGAATCAATGGTGACTTTTCACCTCAAAGGGGACCTGACCGCAAGGTTAAGCTCATAGAATATTCAGAATATGCGAGTGCAAGTAATTAGTCTCTAGTGAGATTTTAAATTAACACTTCAATTTTTAGGAATGGTTCATATGTACTTCAGTTCTGGGTGGACCAAATACTGCCGCATGGTTTTAAAATACAGATGCTGCTGTCAACTGGTGTGGGAGCAGCAGCTGACCTCTGACATCACCAGGAGGGTGCAGAAGAGAATCCCTATCAGCCCAGGGTTGGTTCTTTTTTTTAAAATTTTATTATTATTATTTTGTTATCAATTTATTGGGGCTCATAGAATTCATTACAATACATAGATCAATTGTGTAAAGCACATCTGTACATTTGTTGCCCTCATTATTCCCAAAATTCGCTTTCCTCTTGGGTTCCCTGAATCAGCTCATTTTCCTTTTTTCCCCTCTCCCTCCCTTCCTCCCCTCTCCCCCATGCACCCTTGATAATTTATAAATTATTATTGTATCTTATCAAGGTTGGTTCTTATGAGGTGGGGGTCAGACTTGGCTCCCCGCTCCAGCCTTCCTACCAGTTCTGACACCAGCAGAACGTACAAACAACACTCATGTTTATGGGGTTTACTAGAGAAGTAGCAGGTCACATTATAGGATCAGGAATGCTCAGGATACAGTTCTTTGATCAGGGCGGCTTTCTCGTAGATATGCCATCGGCACTTCTCTCTGGCCCTTGGCCGCAGCCCAGCTCCAACAAAGCTCTTCTGGTCCTGTTGATGTTCCCCAAGGCACCTTCTCTACCAGCACGCCTTGGCCCAAAGCCACGCAGCTCTAGCTTTCTGGGTCAGCAAAGTGAGCTCCCAAGACAAGTGTTTGACGACACAGCACTCTGGGAGTGTTACAGATCTAGTTCAGCTGTCATCAAGTGTCTGCCAGGGACACCCTCCAAAGTCCAAACTCACTGCCACCGAGTTGATCCGACTCCCAGCAACCCTGTACCTCGTACGGGATAGAGCTGCCCCTGTGGGTTTCTGAGGCGGAATCTTTACAGGAGTGGAAAATCTCATCTTTCTCTCGCATAGCGGCTGGTAGTTTCGAACTGCCCTGGCAGTTAGCAGCCCAGCATGTACTCCACGACACCACCAGGGCTCCTTAGAGGCACCCTACTCCACCTTTCGGCCTCTGCCCCCAAGCATACGCCTCAAGTCCAAAGGTCAGCAAGCTGAGCTCCCGAGACAAGTGCCTAGTGGTCGCCACACTGCCACCAAGCCTCCAGCTTGGAGCCCCTGAGCTGCGTGTCCCCTCCGAGGGCCTGGAAGCCCTTGCTCGGCCGCTCTCCTGGTTCTGCTGCCTCTGTTCCCACCACTTCTCTTGCTGTTCCTTCCGCCATCCCCGTTGCTATTGCTGTCTCCTGGATCGAAGAGGTTCAGCACAGTGACCTTCAGTCCAAAGTATGGGATGCCCTCCACTGCCAGCTCTTCTTTTTCAGTGGTCGTGAACACCCCCTTTCCACCTCTGGGAGAGCACATTGGAAACCTGGCAGGTGGCACAGCTGGCCAGTGCCCACATTGGGGTTCCCTAGACCTCATTTGTATGACCCTTCCCCACAAGGGTACCATGCTCCTCATTTGCGTGATTAGCAAACTGCCCGACATCCCCTTGGTGGGTCATAAGTCCTTTGTATTTGCATAATCCCACCCAGTTATTTGGTGGGAGTTAAAGCAACTAGTTAAAAGGGTCATACCACATAATTCACAGATGCACTGCATCTGTGTTGTTTTATTTTATGTTTTCCATTTAACTTAAGAATGTTTTCACTGAAACCCTTTTCATAGCCGTCTGACATCTCATGGATATCAGTGTCCTCTAGTTTGGGGAGCTCTGTCAGGAGGCCCCCTGGTGGTACAGCGGGCTAAGCATCGCACTGCTGGCTGTGGAGCTGGTGGTTCAAACCCTCCAGCTGCTGCATGAGAGCGTAGTGAGGTGGATTACCCCCAAGAAGATGCACAGCCTCGGGACCGCTGTCCCACCGTGCACCTTGAGGCTGCTGTGAGCCAGATCCACTCGGCTGGACGTGTAGGGTCCCGTGTTTCCGGCGATTCAGTGTGCTGCCGGGATGTAGTAGACCACGCCTGCTGGAGGGTGGGGACAAGCTCACGACTCATGCCGAGTACCTTCCCTGCAACAGGCTGGTTCCGGTACTGAGCGTGGCAGGGACAGCCTCTTCCAAGTGTGAACCAAATACTCCATCAGACACCTCTACCGTGTCACACCCGCACACGTTTTTATACGAATAAACGTGAAACGACTATCCCCCATCCCACCCCCCAAAAAAAGTCTTTCTCAGTGGAGCTGGTGGAGGAGACCACACTGAGGAGTAAGCAATGGAGAGCATCAGACGGTGCCTGTAGCCGCCAAGCAGGGCAGGGGCGCAGGGAAAGCGAGGGTGAGGAGACCAGACTGCGTCTGGTCTCCACACGGTGGTTTCTGAAGCGGAGCACGGACCGGCCTGTGCACGGAATCTCTCGGGTGGCTTTCCAGAAGGCTGGAGCCAGTTAACAGTTAACACTGAGAATAGGTTTCCCTCCACCAACTTGGGGGTTAGTTTATTTTTCATTGGTTTAGTGGTTTGTGCAAAGCTGCTGCCTTAACGCGAGCATTTTACAGTCGTGGCCTGGGTGCGATTTCCTGCCTGCCTGTCCTCGCGTGAGCCACGCTGTGCTTCACCCTTGGTCACGAACCAGCGGGAAGCCTGGAAGTGAGATTTTAACCGTGTCCCAGCTCATATTTGGCTGCATTTTGATTTTCTACAATCACATTTTACCTTCTTCAGAAGGACTTGTTTTGTATTCAGCATCTCACTCATGAAATGCTGGGGGCAGGAAGTGTGAAAGTAAAGCCCACGTCAATCCGAAAGGTTCTTGCTGCCGCCCTAGTGGGACTTCACGCAGGTCGCGTGCTGCGGCAGGGAATTGACAAGGACGATGAAAACCGACCAGGGACGTGATGCCGGCGCTCACAGGAAAGAACAAGCCGCCTGCCCCCCACGCTTTGGGTTGTGCAGCAGAGAACTGGGGCCGAGTTCTCGGAGGCAGGGCTATTTGAACAAACCCTTGGTCTGATCCTGTTTCGTCTCTGCCTGGTGTCTTGGTTCCCAGAATTTAACCGTATTTTCCTTCCTCACTGGCAGAAAGGCACTATTTTTGCTCTGTATTTGTCATTTTAAAAGGATTTCCAAAACACCCATGCCCTCTTGCCCCGTTCAAGTGTTACTCATCTGAAGCGGGCCTCCGTGCTGACTGCTTAACCCCGCAGTTTGGTGGGTGCCACCGAGCCTCTCGCGTTGGCGTCATTTCGTTGTGTTTGGACATCAAGTTCCCAAATCAGACCGTTCTGAAATCATTGCATTTTCCACAAGCCAAACCTGTTGGGACTCAGCAGCCCTGCATTCATTAGCCTCATCTTCCAGAGCAACTGGCAAGTCTGGGCCCGGCTTTGTGGTTAGCAGATCAGCCCCGGACCCCCTGCACCACCGGGGCTGCCTTTGCCATGAGGTAGAGTTTCAAAGTGTCTGTTACCAGGAATCTTTACAAATACACGTTTTATATATATTCTTTCTATTAAATTTCATTAAACAAAAGGACTTAAGCTTGGGGCTGTTTTTCTTGACCTATCCTCCCGATTGGTCTACACCAGTGGTTCTCAACCTGTGGGTCACGACCTCTTTAGGGGTTGAATGAGCCTTTCACATGGGTCGCCCAGTTCATCACAGTAGCAAAATGACAGTTAGGAAGTAGCAACAAAAATAATTTTATGGTTGTGGGGAGAGGTCACCACAACATGAGGAACTGTATGGAAGGGTCGTGGCATAAGGAAGGTTGAGAACCACTGGTCTACACTCTTGTGATTGCGGGTAGGGTGACAGGCAGGACTGCTATGGTTATGAGTGGGCCAGGTGGGGGGGCTCCTTGTACCATGGTGTCTGGGTACATGGGTGACAGGGCAGGAGGAGAGTGCTCTCCCTTGGTCCACCTATATAATAATTTATGGTTTTTAAAATACAAGAGATTATCTTTCAGTTCCATTTCTTCTTCCACTAACTTTTTGAAGCCCTCCCTCCTACCCATCATCACGTCAGTTAAAAATTTAACCATGGAGAGGGAAGGAAGAAAGAAAGGTTCCTCCTCGGCGCCCTTTTTAGAGTTCACTCAGCGCTCATGACCAGAGTCTGCAGACTTGCTGGAGCTGCATCAAAGGAATGGCCCTGTTTTCCCTGTGGACGTGAGGCGCATGGTGACACTTCTCTCACTTTTGT